ATTATATAATCTTTAGAGAATGGCTTCAAAAATATTTTAAGTCTTATGTTTCACTTTGCAATTCATGCAATTCTCAATGGAAAGAACCTAGCATTATAAATTACTGATGTCAGGTAGTTCTTGAACCAAGAAGAAAAGGGACTATTTGTATAGAATAAGAAGAAATTCCTGTGAATAATTTATTCATAAGAATTTATTATAATATGATAGACAACTAGGCTGGCTGTCCACCTTCTCCATGAAAGAAATACCCAGGGTGCTTGCTAAAAGTCTCTCATATATGGGGGAAGCTGAGATATTGTTCAGTCACCAGGCTCCATCACAAGAAGTTTCCCTTAGATAGTGATAGATTTTCAGAAAAGGTTGTGGTCCATCTTGAAAATCCTATAAATATGGGAATCCCTTGGTTTCTTAAGCATATAGAGTAAGATTAGGTGTTCACTGCTTTTGGGGTGGGATGGAGTAGAATCTCCGCTTGCTGTGTTAAAAATGAACACTGAGAAAAGAATACGACCTCTGGGAAGAGCAGGGAATGCCATTTTCAATCACTTCTTAAGTGACAGTATCTGTTGTGAACACTATATTCTGTTTCACAAGTCCTCTGGCAAATGGTACTAGGATTGTTGTCAGCCTGGTGGTGTTGAAGGAGACCTTTTGCACCAACAGAACTTAGGACTAATTGTGAACGTCTTGTATGATGGCTGTAATTAGCAGTTATGTTGACAAACTACAGATGGTGGGGAACCCCCCATACAACTAAATCTTATTAATCGACAATGATTCTTCTTTTGAAAAATAATGGTAGTGATGCCTTTTTATTACATAAAGTATTTCTGAAGATTGAAACAAATAAAAGTGCAATTTTTAAATATATGCATAAGACATATATTAAATGATAGTAAAACAAAGAATAGGATGGTTTATTTTTATAAATAATAATTTCAAAGTTTCTCATTAACATTTTTCACTTGTTAATTGCCTTTTCAATTAAGAAATGCTGCCTGAATTCAAAAAAACAATTTGTRGTTTTAGTATTTCTTGACCTTGTTTCTTCCTCTTTAAAAACTAAAGAAAATGTGTTAGTGAAATTCTAATCACTTTCTAAATACTTGCAGAAACTCATTAATTTATTTTACAGTTTCTTTTTTCATTATAGCATTATAATTATACATAGTATTTGGGTTCATTTTGACAAAATTATATATATATATATAAATGGAATTTAATTTCAATCCCTTCTCTCCCCTTCCCCTTTTCTCCCTCCTCTACTCTACTGAGCTTCCTTTCACTCTTTCAGTATTAAATGACAGCAATTCTTCTATTTATGGTGCTGGGGTGCTGGGGATGGAATCTAGGGCCTCTCAGAGGCTAAGCAAGACTCTACCACTGGGTTACATTCCCAGCCCAATTGAAAACAATTCTAATCAGAATGTTAAATTAAAGTGGGTCCAAATTAAAAAGGTTATCTTAGGAAATTTGTAAGGAAAATATTAATTTTACAGTCAACCTGAGATATTTTGTAAATATCAAATTTTATGATTTTATTCTTGGGTTTATGTGGAATAAGGTCAGTTATGAATTAATAAAGTATGATTTTATACATTTTTCTTTTTATCTTCACAGAAGCTTGAGCTGAGTATTAGCAAATAGAAATTGTGTTATATCCCTTAATGATTAGATGAAAATTAATAATTAATTTCTCATTAATAACACTAAGCATTATTACTTTAGTAAATACATAATAATACTAAATATATAATAAGTATTTCTATTACTTATATGTCAGTAGATGCCTATTCAGGGTTTAATAAAAAATTTTTGTTAAATAATTTTTAAAAAATCAGAAAAGGGGCTGGGGATGTGGCTCAAGTGGTAGCACGCTCACCTGGCATGCACACAGCCCTGGGTTCAATCCTCAGCACCACGTACAAATAAAGATGTTGTGTCTGCCGAAAACTAAAAAAAAAAAAAAAAAAAAAAAAAAACAAATAAATATTTTAAAAATTCACCCTCCCTCCCTCCCTCCCTCCCTCTCTTTCTCTCTCTCTCTCTCTCTCTCTCTTAAAAAAAAAATCAGCAAAAACCCTTGACATCTCTCTCTGTTAATGATGCTACTCTTCTTTAGTTTGCTTGGCCTTCTTTATCCTTACCACAACCCTAAGTTTGTGTCTGGGCTTCTCCTCTGCTGTCACTGGTTCAGAGCACATCAGAAATGGCATTTGGTTCTATTTGCTCTTTGCTGTGGTGTATGTACATTTTAGCCTACAGAGGGAATGCCTTCCTGCATTCCAGACCTGTGGGTCACCTCTGTCTGGATTTGGTCCAGCTGTGTTCTCTGGCCACCATTGCTATTATCCTTTGATTCTTGGATTCCAAACCAGCCCTGTCCAGAGTTTCTTGGAGTTGCTATTCACATAGCCCTTGGTTGGCTCATCTTTTTGGGTTCATGCTTTCGTTGTTTTCCTGTGACCATGTTTTATTTATTTTTCTAATTTGCTCYAATTAATTATACATGACAGTAGAGTGCATTTTGATATATTATACACAAGGTTCATGCTTTTGATGCTTTGAGTAACAGACGTCTACATCACTGATATCCCTTAGCTGATGCCGTTTTTCCTTGATAGGGTAATAGCCACTGTAGAATTTGTGTCTTGAAGTGTGGCTGGACATTCTGCCTCAGCACTTGTAGGGCACCTCTTTTCTCTCATATAGACTCTTCTCTGGAACCCAAGGTATTTTAGGCAGAGAGACCTTATGTAGTGTCCAGGTTGGCCAGTGCTTTTCAGCCTAGGCAAGCGTGTGGCTGCCTCGCTTGCCTTAGCAGCAGTGCTAATCCTGTCCTGCATTTAGGGTTTCTGTTCATTGTTAAATGTGGCAGTGCTGGACTTCAGCATCTGTGGCCAGCTCTCAGTGAAATAGGTATCGACCAGCGAATCACTTAATCTCTTTGAACCTTAGTGCCTATTATGGACAATGGAAGTTAAAATAACATATTTTTTATTGGTTGTTCAAAACATTACAAAGCTCTTGACATATCATATTTCATACATTAGATTCAAGTGGGTTATGAACTCCCATTTTTACTCCAAATACAGATTGCAGAATCACATCAGTTACACATCCACATTTTTACATAATGCCATATTAGTAACTGTTGTATTCTGCTACCTTTCCTATCCTCTACTATCCCCCCTCCCCTCCCCTCCCCTCCCATCTTCTCTCTCTACCCCATCTACTGTAATTCATTTCTCTAAATAACATATTTTTGAAGGGAATAAATAAGGTAATGTTTCTCAAGAGGCTGCTGCTATATTTGTTATCTCAGGGCCCACAAATGCTTTGAGTTTTAAAATTTCAGTCCAGACCCAGCTGTGGACAACATTGTCTATCTGTTTACCTATCTATATACCTATCATGTTTATGAAATYAGGATCTTAATGGGTTTTTCCCACTATTACATAACCATGTAAGGCTGATAATACTGTGAGAAAAACATCATCATACATTCAAATGTTTTAGGCTTTTAAATTTGAAATAAAAACTCTTGGCATTTGATTACTCCAAGGTTGTTGGAGCAAGACATCCATTTCTCCCTTTATTTCTTCCTTTTCCTCTCCAACCCCCAATTTAGAAATATTAAGTGTRTTTTGGCTCAGTCTGCATTTGTCAAACTGGTGGAAGAAACAGCATGGGACCAGGGGAACCATTTCTATTTTTGCCCTTCTCCATGTTAATATGGCCAAAGTAAATGTATTCTTGAAATTAAATGCTATGAACTAAACTTTTAAAGCCCTAAAAGCTATAATCTTAGGGTTTGTACCAAGAGAACAAGGAATTCAAAATAACATTTTTTGGTCATTTAAAAATCACAAATATTTAGTGGCCAATAAAGATAAAAATATTCAGCCTCATTAGTAATAAAAGGAATATAAAATAAAGTGTTGCTGGACTATTTAGCCAACAAAATTGACGTTTAAAAAATGTAAACAAAAAGAGAGATGTTGAATTGGGCACTCTTGGACAGGCTAATGAAGGTATAAATAGGTACAGACTGTCTCCCCTCTAAAGCAACTTAACAATATTTATCAAGTGCTGAAGAGATGTTAATGCCTTGGACATAGTAATTCTACTTCTGGGAACTTAGCCTAAGGAAATAATCAGGATTTGGCATAATTATAACATCAGAAACTTGGAAACAACCTAAATGTCCAACAATGGGGGATTGATTAAATGAAGTCTGAAAATATATGCAATGTGTTTTTCTGCCATTAGGAATGGAAGACTATTTGAAGAATGATCAAGGAAAAAAGTTTGTAAAAATAATGTAAATTTAAAAAATGTAATAAACCTAGTATTTTGAAATACAGCCTGTTTACATACATGCATGTGTGTGTGTGTGTGTGTGTGTGTGTGTGTGTGTGTGTGTGTGGACTGAAAGAGCTTTAGAATAAAATATTATTTTGGGGTGATAAGAGTGTTGTTGTTTTAAATTTTCTTCTTTATACTTTATTTTTTAAGTTCTTATGTTTGTATCAGAAGAAAATCCCTAATTTAAAAATGTACTACTTTGGCAAACTTTGTACTCATAAAACCATGTGAAAACATAAGAAAAAAATTCTAATGGAAATTAGGACCGAATGCTGTCAGTGACTTGTGATAAGGTGGGACTTGGTGGTAATCAGATGGTGGTTCTTTTTAATAATTTTTCTTTAATGTTGTTCCATTAAGAATGTATTTCTATTAGGAAAGCAAGAATAAGTGTTCAAAACTCCTTTATAAATCTATGCCATGTTCGAATTAAGGTAGCGATTTCTAGATATTCTGCCCACCCCGCTCCACCCCAGTTTTGGAGATGGAACCCAGGGTCTTATACATGCTAGGCAAGTTCTCTGCCACTGAGATGTACTTCCAGCCCCTGGATATTCCCTTTGACAGTGGTCCATCTTGAAAAATATGAAAATATTAACAATGGTGGTAAATTTTCTTTACTCCTACAGATATTCCTGAGATTCCAGAAAGCATCTCATTCTGTAAAGCACTGCAGATAGCCGACTTCAGCGGAAACCCACTGACTAGGTAACCTTTCTGCTTACTCTTCTATCTGTAGTATTAAGGATATCGTTTTTGAAAGCCAGGTGGAGGACACTGTGAGGCTACCTATTTTGGAGGTGCCATATGCATTCTTGTCTTTATTAAGGATGGGTGAGTTACCTAAATATTTAGTTATATATAGTGCACAATGAAAAGCATACTGTCTATACAAACACTGAAAAGATGTTGTAGGGTTAAAGGGGAAGAACATAAGAGTTTATGAAATAGGAGTGAGGAGAGAATTTCTGAAGAAATATGAAAAAAATGTAGAGTTCATGCATCCCCCATTGATCCTGCCTGATATATTGGATAAGACTGAAATCCAACCTCTCCAAGAGTTTATACTATCGTTAACCAAGGAAAAGTCTTATTAGATCTGTATTCCCCCCTCCAGTAATGAAACATTTGTAATCTCAATTTTCCTGTAACTCGCCTTTAAAAAATAAACCCCCCTCAAAACTGTGATTTCCTTACTTTAGCAATAGCTGTGGGGATTTCTTTGGGTTTATCCCATCAAACAAAGCCACCTGTTGCTGTTTTGCCACTTACTCCAGCTCTGCCCTTCTGGTATTTCACAGCAGGACTGAGGAGGCATTGCTGAGATCCTCTCTTTCTGCCTCTTGACATAAGTCATGAGTCCGTGACTGCTGGCCTCCAGGTGTCTTTGTTGCCATGGCAACTGAGTTAGTGCCATGTGGCTATAGACATCCCTTGGGATTTTATTCCAGAGTTCTATCAGGGCCAGGTGGGTCCATCTCTAGAATTTCTCAAAAGCTCTGTAAGCAGCCTTAGCAGTGTGGTATTCTTCCTTGAGATTGAAGTAGAATTTGGAATTCACCTTACTTATTTTAGAATTGCTTGGGACATCTTGAGTCTAGAGTACTGGAGAAATACCCTGTTTACTTTTATTTTGGCCATATCCTTATTTTTAAGAAATAAATGTGTTTTTAAAATATTTCTGGTTTTCCTTTTTTGAATTTCAGTGACAGAGTTGCCTTTACCATTTATAACTGGAAAACAGTGATCCAGTAAGCTGTAGCCTGAAAGTGCTCTAACTCATCACTGTCCTCAGGTTAACTTACCCTCTTTCCTCGCCGTCTTCCCTCAGTTTGCCTCTCTTCTAAAAACCATCTGAAACTCCCTGTTTTAGTTAGCTTTTTCATTGCTTTGACTAAAAGACTCAACTGGAACAATTTTAGAGGAGGAAACGTTTATCTGGGGGCTCATGGTTTCAGAGGCCTCGGTCCATAGACAGTAGGCTTTATTCCTTGGGGCTCAAGGTGAGGCAGAACTCCAGGGAAGGAGAGTGTGGCAGGGGGAAATTACTCACTTGATGATCAGGAAGCAGAGAGACTCCACTCACTAGCTACAAAGTATGTACCCYAAAGGCATGACCCACCTCCTCCAGCCATGCCCTACCCACTTTCAGTTACCACTCAGTTAATCCCCATCAGGGGGTTAATTCACTGATTGGGTTAAGGCTCTCATAACCCAATCATTTCTTCTCCAACCCTCTTCTATTGACTCACACATAAGCTTTTGGGATATACCTCACATCCAAGCCATAACAATGTCCCTGTCAGATAAGTCACTTCTAGATGTGCTATGCAAGCCTTTCCTTGTCTGCACTTTAGCTTAGCCTGTCTCTCCACCCTATTGTCCTCTGTTTCCTGTGTCAGATATCACTCTGTGCTATTATAAAGTGCTTCTACTTAGTTCATTTTTTTTTCATATTCTCTTTCTTTTTGTGCTGAAGATCAAACTGTCTAGATCAGTGCACTACCACTGAGCCACACCCGTAGCCCCAGGTACTTCATTTCACACCTGTGAAATGAACTGTCTGTTCTTCACTGAACCAGCCCTTTCACCTCCCTACAAAGCAGCCTGAGCATTGCACATCTTCAGGAAGCCTTTCCTGCTTACTCTCCGTGGCCCCCTCCTCTGAGCTTTTATAGAATGCTCTTGTGTACATTTTTCATAACACTTGAAATTTACACTTAAGTTATCCTTTTGACCACGACTTCCCAGTTGAATTGAGAAAGTTACTTATTTTCTCTCTATAACTTATTACTGTATTTCCAGCCCAACTGTAGTTCCCGGAATGGAGTAAGTGCTCAATAAATGCTTGTTGAACTGATCCAGGTTAGGCAAGTGGGCAAATTTTCTTTGTGCTGCTGTTCAGCTTTTTTTTTTTTTTTTTTTTTTAGTTGTTAGTGGACCTTTATTTATTTATTTTGTATATGTAGTGCTGTGAATCGAACTCAGTGCCTCACACATGCTAGGCAAGCGCTTGACCACTGAGCCATGACCCTAGCCCGCGCTGTTCAGCTTTTTTTAACCATCAGTTGCTTAGTCCCTTTTTCAGCTTTTCTTCTCTAATGCTGGCTGACATTTGACCTCACCATTCTCAAAGCTCTCCACTGGAACACACCAAGATTGCATGAGGTTTTACTTATATTTTATCCTGGGCTCCTATTTGGTGKATTTCTTAAAGCAATCCATTTCCATTTGGCAGGTATGCTGTGAGTTGAAGGGACCTTTGTTGGTTACTGACTCTGCCCACTTATATTACGACTAAAGAAACGAAGGCTGGCCTTTCAGTTGGTGCAGCTATTGAGTGGGAAGCTCAGACTTCAGCTTCCGTGGACTTAAGTCTCTGCTTCTTCCTCACCTTATACTAGCTTGGCTCTGAATGTTAACAGCTGGTAAAAAATGCAAATCAGACATTTAGAACATTTGCTTATGTTTAAGGACATTTCATCTAGTTTTAGAATTTTTTWAAAAAATGATATATACTGTCTGGTTAAAAACTTGGGCAAACCAGATGTGTTGATTTTTTTTGAAATTATAGGTATTAAGCTAACTCTTCTAAAAACATAATTCAATAATTATATACATTCTAGATAATATCCTAATTCTAAGGGCCTGAATTTGATTTTGTAGTCAGGCCTTAACCTATGTTAAATGTCAAACTGTAACATATTTTATTCTCACCTTCCAAAAAAGAATCTAGAAGAAGAAAAATAAAAGATTCCAGTTTAGAGACTATCATTAAAGTCAGAAATTTCTCCCTGCTGAAAAAGTAACAGACTTGTGGTTCTATTGTCTATACTAACAGATTTGTGTGTATGCATTGTGTTTTATTTCAGATGCAGTGAGATCTTTTTGCCTTTAGTGATATTTTTTCTTTTTTATTTATCCCTGCATGCATACTGGTAACCATAGGAATACTGAAAGTAAAATTTCTTTGTAAATTTTAAATAATGATTTTATTTTGAAGCCTTACTATTCTGCAGAGTTTAAGGACATACAAAAAAACTGCTTTTGTGTAGAAGAACATAGTGAAACACATAATTATCTCAAGTGAGTGACATTTTGAATTAAAAGAAAAWGTTAAGAAAGTAGCAATTGGCTGTCAGCTGATCAATTCTAAGTAATCCTTTGCTCTGGGTATTATAAGCTACAGGAAGAAACATTTTTGAGCAGCTGTCTTGTGTTTTGTTGTAATCTTGTGGGCGGATGAAATTTTCTCTTTATTTTCTGCTAATCAATAAAGTGTTTTCACTCTTAGGCACTTTCAGCTGCTGTGGCAATTTGTCAGTTGTTTTGTTTTTTTTATGGAGTATTCAATAGTCCCACAATACTTCCCCCTTTATTCTTAGAACCTGCCTATCTGGTTCTCTTTAATTATTTCTGCATTACTCTATCAATAAGTATCCTGTCATGCCCCTATACTTCTATTAGGTAGATGAAACATTTGTTTTTTTCTTTGAAAGTGTTATGTATGTGTGTGTGTGTGTGTGTGTGTGTGTGTGTGTGTGTATAAAGTCAAGGTATACATGTCACCTACAATGTAATTTTGAAGAGGTTGTTTCAGTTAGCACAGAGAAGTCACCATCACGTTTATGCTTATTACATACTGCTGTTCTTTTTAATTAACATTTTTTTGTTGTTTTTATTGTTATAGGTTGCCAGAAAGCTTTCCTGAATTACAGAATTTAACATGTCTTTCTGTAAATGACATCTCATTACAGTCTCTGCCTGAAAATATTGGCAAGTAAGTTTTTATGTGCAGTTTGTGATTATCAGACTGAAAGGACATCTGTATCAYTAGCTCTATCCTCCTCCCCTTTTATAGCTCTTATTTTCAAAAGCCATTTACCTATTTTTCATTATTACCTTTAAGAAAGATCATAGCCAGCCTCCTTATTTTTTCATTCAATTGCCCCTAAATCTTAATGGTTCTGAACTATGCTGCTACTTGTAAGAAACCTAATGTGTTTGGAAGCTCTCTTTAATGGATTCCAAAGCAGTAGTTAACTTAAGCAAAGTAAATAATTTACTTACTAGTAGGTAGTGAATACTACTGGAAACTATCATCTGCTGATGGTAATTTTAAACCTTATTAGGGAATAGGGCCCACCAAGGACTCCACTGTAAACTTAAAAGAATGTGCCCCTAAACAGCAGCTAGGTCTGACAGCACTTGTGAATTGTAGCCCTGAGAACAGGGAGTGACGATGGATGGCAAGCTTGGAAAACAGGAGTGAGTGGGGATTGGGTGACACTTTTTAAAATYGAATTATTTATTTATTCTAATTTGTTATATACGATGGCAGAATGCAATTCATTTCATATTACACATATAGAGCACAATTTTTCAAGTCACTGATTGTACACAAAGTATTTTCACCTCATTCGTATCTTCATACATGTACTTACAGTAATGATGTCTAACTCATTCCACCATCATTCCTACCCCCTTGTCCACTTCCTTCCCCTCCCTCCCCTTTGCCTTATCTTAAGTTCCTCCATTCCTCCCATGTTCCTGCCCCATCCCCAGCCCCCATCACCATTAAGAGTCAGCATCCTCATATCAAAGAAAACATTGGGCCTTTGGTTTTTTGGGATTGACTTACTTCACTTGGCATTATATTCTCCAACTCCATCCATTTACCTGCAAATGCCATGAGTTTATTCTCTTTTAATGCTGAGTAATGTTCCATTGTGTGTGTATATACCAAAGTTTCCCTATCCATTCATCTACTGAAGGGCATCTAGGTTGGTTCCACAATTTAGCTATTAAATTGAGCTGCTATAAACATTGATATGGCTATGTCCCTGTACTATGCTGTTTTTAAGTCCTTTGGGTATTGACCGAGGAATAGGATAGCTGGGTCAAATGGTGGTTCCATTCCAAGTTTTCCAAGGAATCTCCATACTGCTTTCCAGATTGGCTGGACCAATTTGCAATCCCACCAGCAATGGATGAGTGTTTCTTTTCCCCACATCCTTGCCAACACTTATTGTTGTTTGTATTTTTGATAGCTGCTATTCTGACTGGAGTGAGATGAAATTAGAGTAGTTTTGATTTGCATTTCTCTAATTGCTAGAGATGTTGAACATTTTATTTTTTTCATATGTTTGTTGATTGATTGTATATCCTCTTCTGAGAAGTGTCTGTTCAGTTCCTTGGCCCATTTATTGACTGGGTTACTTGTTTTATTGTTTTTAAGTTCTTAGAGTGCTTTGTATATCCTAGCGATTAGTACTCTATCTGATGTGCTTGTGGTAAAGATTTGCTCCCATTCTGTAGGCTCTCTATTCACCTCACTGATTGTTTCTTTTGCTGAGAAGAAGCTTTTTAGTTTGAATCCATCCCATTTATTGACTCTTGATATTAATTCTTGCTTTATAGTAGTCTTATTAAGGAAGTTTGGACCTAATCTGACATGATGGAGATATGAGCCTACTTTTTCTTCCATTAGGCGCAAAGTCTCTGGTTTAATTCCTGGGTCCTTGAGGGGATGGYACTTTTTCACGCTGCTGGTATACAAATAGTGGGGGAGGGTAGGCATGGCAAAAGATCAAATCCTTTGAGGAAGGGATGTGTGCTGGTGAGTAAATGCTGTTAGACACTCCCATAAATAACTAGTTGAATTATCTCAGCAGACCTTCTTCTTTTCTCTAGGACCTAGTAGTGATGTAATGGTTCTTCTTTAACGATTTAAAATAAAAGCCCAATTGGCTGACCTTAATCAGGGACCAAGGGTCCCAGTCCTGTCTGGAGTGATTTCCTGCCTTTTACCTGTCTTGCCTGAGTTCTAAGACAAAATGGAAACTGCCCTTTGAGAACCACAATGGGAGGGTTGAGCCCAGTCTTCTGACTGTGTCCTACAAAGGTTCTCTCTCTAGAGGTCCACAGGCATTTTCAACAGGCACCTCTGCCCCTCCTTTACCTCTGGGATCCTGTTTCAGACAGCAAGTCGATGTTTTTCTGAGATGCATGCTGGTGTTTTAACTTTGTGCCAGCTGACTTGCTGATCAAGCATTGTGTCCTTTGCTCATAGGAGGGACAAGAGGTTGGAAGCCTCCAGTGCACCCCAAGTGCACAACATCCATGGCAGAAGAACAGCAGTGTTCTACTGTGGAGTTCATGCACTCACACTTTAATTTTATTATATAAAATTTCATTTATTTGTAATTTAAAAATCCTTAAATATAGAAGCCACTAAACATCCTAAATGACTCTGCCTCCTCCTACTGCTTAAGGTCTCTGAGATTCAATTCTCTTGTTATGCTCCCTCCCACTCATTCCCAGCCTGCTGCTAGCTCAGTGGTTATCCCTTCTAGCCCCTGATTCCTATCCCTCCCCTTTTGCTTTATGTCTTTTTATAAAGATTTAATGCTTTAAGAGAAAATATGTTCTTCTTAAACCAGAGTTTGATTAAAAACTCTACTGCACTGTTTTAATGGAAACTGTTTAATAAAYATTTTAGAAAAAATGATAATATTCCTTATTATATTCTCTGTTAATATCTGTACTTGCTTATTTAGAATTTTTTGTGTATCTACAATTTCTGTCAATAATAGGAGTAGTTTGTTTTGTTTTTAGATTTACTCAGCTTGTGTTTACTGTTAGAACATTACACATACTGATTGGTAACCCCAGGCCAGGAAAAAAAAAAAAGCCATTTATTAGGTCAGTTTTTGAAAATAAGAAATAGAGAGTTTCCTTTCTTGGTTATTAATGTGTTTGGTACTGAAGTAAGAAATGTGATTTTTTTCCTGTTGAGTTTAAGATTTCTGCTCAAGTAATAACCTGTCCTCCAAGTATAGACTGACTTAGTAGAAAGACATAAAAGAACAAACACCCGTTGAGAAGACTGGGCTCCCCTGGGATCCTAGGCCATGATGAAGAAGTACTTGAAAGAGTTGAAATAAGGAATTGTTGAAGAAGTCTCAGATTATACATATGCATGTTGTTTTKGGGAAAATTTAGGAACTTTCCTCAGGGAAGAGATTCTTCATTTTCACAAAGGATTCTCAACTGGTTTCTTTACAGCATTTAACATATTTGATTACCAAATATTTAAAATAACCAGTACAATTTCTCAGAGAGTGAGTGGTTTTGTAAAGAAGAAGGCACACCTATTCAATCTTCCAAAAAAATTGAAAAGGGCATGAAATAGCCATTTGAATGATCCTTACTTTTATAGAATAGGAAGTATAATTTTTGCAAAAATTCACCCTGCTTATTTAATCAAATGAGTAAACCACATTAGTGTTGACCTTTTGAGCAACCATGAAGACAGGTCTTCTGTTTCTCCTCCTGGCAYCTAATGCAATACTTGGCATTAACATGCAGACCTATGGATTTCTCAAGGACTTGGACCTCCTGGGGATGGGCAARAACACCCAGGCTGGGAGGAGAGGGCCATAGGCTATATCTAGGACAAGCCGACTTCAGCGAGTGCTTTGAAGCTGGGCTTCTGCAAGCATCTCTCCTGTCACGTGTTTCATTTATCCAGGGTCAGTTAGGTTGAATAGGTTTTGGGAGTTGATGGCAGAACTGGAATTAAAATTTGACCTCTTGGTCCCAGTCTATTTTTTCCCTACTTTTCCATCACCATAGACCTTGGTTCTGGGAGGCTCAGTAAGTTTTTCTTAGTACTCCTAGAAATACCTAACAGTTCTAATTAGTAAATAGATTCAAAAAACTTAATAAGTATTTTTGTCCCAACAACCTTATAACTATTTTTTTGGTGGTGGAGGGGAGTATAAATAGTATAAATAAGTTGAAGAAATATTTTTCTTTTATTCTCAAGTGTCCCCAATTCTTTATTTTGGGACGTGAGTACCTATTGTGGACTGCTCAGCTTCCCTAACCACCACCTCATTGCTCTTTCCACGTTGATTTGTTACCTAGTACTTGCTTTTCATCATAGTAATCACTAAAAACCCTTGAGAGGAACATAGTGCTGCCTAATGTTGAAACTGAACTACGGTCCACAAGGAGCTCAACAGATGTTGAATATTCCTATTTTGCTCTCAAATTAAAAGTATCATGTGGTGCCCCTGTAGGTTTGCTGCTGCTTCCCTGGGTGTCTTTGTAGGTTGCAGTAAGTTGTTGCTGTCTTCAGTGCTTGGGGAGTGCATGAGTCACTCTTTGCTGTGTGAGAAGAAATTTTTTTTCTTTTAATCTAAACAATCCACAAAGAATTGAATCATCCACTCAGTCCCTGAGTCATATGTGACTGCTGGCTATGTCTAGAGGAGCTTCTGGAGAGGAGATTGAATATCCCACAAGCAAAAGGGTTTAGCACCATGTTGGTTGGTGAGCTTTCAGTGCATTGCCAAGTGTTGCAGGTCATGTACAACGCTTAGTGGCTACACTACAGGTAACCATCAGTCTGGTTTGAAAAAAAATACAAATGCTTCTCAATTTACAGTGGAAATTACATTGCCATAAACYCATTGTAAGTTGGAAATGTCATCAGTCAAAAGGCATTTAATGCATCTAACCCTAGTGAAGATCGTAGTTTGGCAGCCCTGTACCAGTTACAGTGTTGGGTGTTGCACCTCGGGATCACATGGCTGAATAGGAAGGAGTCCCAGCTCACAGCTACTACCCAGCATCTTAATAAAGTGTATGGTAGTGACTATCACTAGCTCAGAAAAAGATCAGAATTCAACTGAATGCATATCACCTTTTTTTTTTTTTTTAGCTTTCCAAATCTCAAAGCATTTATTTTCTCATCATTAGGAGAARTGGAAT